TTTTTCTTCGTTCCATATTGTTAATATTTTTTTAATTTTTGCTGCTTTTTTCAGCCTCGGGTCTCTGCAGGGGCCCCACCCCAGCGAAACCCTAAACCCTAAACCCTAAACCCTAAACCATTGAGCAGGAAAACCCCACGAAACCGTAAACCCTAAACCGTAAGCCGTAAACCCTACCCATTCGAATGGGCTGGGAAGGTGCTCAAGGCCTGGCTGTACATGAGCTGGCCTGTATGGGTTCAACTCCCCCCTCTAGGGTTTAGGGTTTAGGGTTTAGGGTTTAGGATGGAGGAGCTCGAGGTGAAGCACCTTTATGCTGGCGATTGTTACTCGACTCTGCTGACTGTGGACGGAGCTAAACTTTTATTTAATTGCGGAATACCCGATACTCTCGACAGCAGCCGCATCTCTCTCCTCCTACAGTAAACCCTAAACCCTAAACCCTAAACCCTCGTTCTAACCCCTACTTCCCGCGCCCTCTACTGCTTAGCATTTTCCTTCATAATGCAACGATGCATCAATCCCTCCAAACTGTACATAACTGTTGCTGCTGTTTCTGCTGCTGGTGTTTGTTCCTGATGCTGTTGTTGCTGTTGTTGCTGTTGCTGCTGCTGCTGGGGTGTACAGGCACCTGGACGATGTGGATGCTGTCTTCATCAGCCACGGCACTGTAGCATATTGTGGGGCGTTGCCTTTGCTGCACAAACTGCGCTGGCGCAGCCCCCAGGGAGGTGTACATACACCTCAGAAACACGATTCCAGCGGAGCAGCAGCAGCAGCAGCGGCAACAACAGCAGCAGCAGCGGCAACAACAGCAGCAGTAGCAGCAGATGAGCTTCCTAAGGTGTACTGTACGCATGCAACACAACGCCTCGGTAGAGTAGCTACTGAGGCGGCGCTGCTGGCAGCAACGGATTGCTTCTGCACGCGTGGTATTGCTGCTGCTGCTGCTAGGGGCACCGCAGCAGCAGCAGCAGCAGCAGCAGCAGCAGCAGCAACAGCAACAGAAGGGCTGCAGAGTAGCGGCCTTCCTTTCACCGTATCCGATGTTAATGCTGCATTTGCTGCATGCAGCCCCATTTACTATCACGGGGCTATTCCAGTGAAGAGACGCAGAAGGCGCTGCTGCTGCTGCTGCTTAAACAGCAACAGCAGCAGCAGCAGCAGCAGCAGCAGCAGCAGCAGTGGAGATAGCGGCGGAAGTGCAGTTGAAAGGGCTTCTTCTGCAGCACCAACTGGAAAATGCTGCTGCTGCGCTCAGCAGCAGCAGCAGCAGCAGCAGCAGGACGAAGAGTGTGGGGTGTATGTACGCTGTGTGCGTAGCGGTTTAAATATAGGGGGCTCCGTGTGGATAGTAGAGAGCGACAGACTAAGGATAGTAATTGCTACAGGACATTCAACTACCCCCTTCTGGTAAACCTTGCTGCTGCTGCTGCTGCTGCTGCTGCGTGTTGTGCTGCTGCTGCTGTTTGTTGTGCTGCTGCTGCTGCTGCTGCTTGTTGTGCTGCTGCTGCTAATTGTGTTGCTGCTGCTGCCGGTAGTTGTGCTGCTGCTGCTGCTGCTAATTATGGTGTTGGTGCTGCTAGTTATGCTGCTGCTGCTGCTGGCGGGGCTGCTGCACCTGCTAGTAATGCTGCTGCGGCAGCAGCAGCAGCAGATGCTGTAGAAGGCGCTAGCGGAGGTGTTGCTGCAGGTGCTGCTGCTGCAGCAACCGGTTTAAGTGTACCTGCTGTTGCTGCTGCTGCTGCTTCTGCTGCAGGCATGTGGATGGTGGGGAGCTGCTGCCGCTGAGCAGCGGGGCACAGCCTTTTGTTGCTTCTGAAGGCGCAGCAGCAGCAGCAGCAGCAGCAACAGCAGCAGCACCTCCGTCTCCTTGGTTGGGGACTAGGCTGCGGTGCTGCAGCGTGCTTATTACTTCATATGCAGCAGCAGCAACAACAGCAGCAGCAGCAGCAGGTGGGCTACCGCAGCAGCAGCTGCGGCTGCTGCTGCAGCGTGCAGCAACAGAAGTGCTGCGGGGCTGCACGGTTGTTATTCCAGTAGATCTTGATGGTAAGCATAAACCCTAATTAAACCCTAATGCCTTCTTTAGGGTTTAAAGGTAAAGGGCTCTAGGCAAGGGTTTAGGGTTTGCGCTAGGGTTTAGGGTTTGTGCTAGGGTTTAGGGTTTGTGCTAGGGTTTAGGGTTTAGGGTTTGTTGACGGATTCCTTTATTTTATTTTTAGGGTTTGTTACTATTTTAAGGTATTAATATTTAGGGTGTGCTTTATATTTTCGTATTTATTTTAGGGTTTAGGGTTTAGGGTTTAGGGTTTAGGGTGTATGCGCGCTTGTTCAGGTTTATGCTTGTCTTTAATTGCTTATCTGGAGGCCTTGTGGGGTTGCTGCCAGCAGCTGCAGCTGCTGCCGCTGCTGTTTGTTTCTCCCTGCGGCACTTCGTTCTTAGCAGCAGCAGAGCCGCTGCTTGCTGCTTCAACAGCTCGTGCAGCTTGGGGTTTAACTGTGCAGCGGCGGCAGCACTTCCTTGCTGGTGCAGCAGCAGCAGCAGCTGCTGCTGCTGCTGCTGCTGGTGCTGCAGATAAGGAAGCTGGTGGAGGGGCTGCTGCCGACTCTGCTGCTGCTGCACAAGGAAGCAATTCCCTACGCGCAGCAGCAGCAGGGGCGGCTCGCGGCAAACAGCAGCAGCAGCAGCAGCAGCAGCAGCAGCAGCAAGTGGGCCGGCTGCAG